GATAAACAACAGAAAAGGTAGGTACCGGAGGGGGGGGGGGGTACCATATATATATATATATGTGTGTATGCACACATACGTAGGTACGTATGCACGCATGTGCATACATACATGCATGCACGCACACATGCAGGCATACATGCATGCATGCACACACACACACACACATACACACGCGCCCACACGCACCCACACACGCACACATACATACGTCCATATGTACATGCATGCATGCATGCATACATGCATGCCTACATCCAACACACAAGCATACGTACATACATACATACATACATACATATATACATAAGTACATACATACATACATACATACATACATACATACATACATACATACATACATACATAGACATCATTCACACATACATACACACATACATACATGCAAAGATACCGACACAGCCAGATTTAATCTGTGGTGGAGTGCTTATACACATGCATACGTATACTTATACATGTACATGAAGGTGTGTGTGTGTGTATATATAATGATATTATTTAAAGATGTGTGTGTATTATGTATTATGCATGACCCGCTTATTATTCACTGATGTTTATATCTGTACCTTTCGTGTGATGTATAGTCATTTCTGTGTTGCTGTTTAAACTAACAGTCGCATTTATATAATTATGATATTTATTGTTGTTTTCGTGTTTCTGTCATTGTTGTTATTATATTATTGTTGTTCTTACTTGTTGTATGTTGGACAGTCGAATACACGTACATACTATATAGAGGCGGTATGTATGTATGTGTATGTGTATGTGTATGTGTATGTGTATGTGTATGTGTATGTGTATGTGTATGTGTATGTGTATGTGTATGTGTATATGTATGTATGCATGCATGCATGCATATATATATATATACATACATACATACATACATACATACATACATATGTCATATGATATATATATATACACATACATACACATGTCGATGCACAAGCGACTGCAGGCGTCCTCGCGGCTGCTGGCTACGGCTGTGGCGGTGCGGTCCCCTTCGACAGTCTGTTGCCGCAAGCTGTTGGAATCATCCTAAGAAGATAGATACAAACACAAGGCTATATAACGGTAATAACAGTATACGCTAGTGCATGCTTTGCTGTTACAAGAGTATATTTGTATAAGCTAGTCCATGTTTAGCTTATAGTAGTATGCCTGTCCTCTGTCAGGTTGCTCCAACCTTCGATACTCACAGGACTGACAAGCCAGGGCAAAGGGCCAACTCCATCCCTCCTCTTGCTGCGGCTTCTCCGCGTAGAGGATCATGGGACTTAGTGGCATAAGGGGTTTCTTACACGATTCCTTAAACGGGTTTAGGGTTTAGGGTTCTCCGCGTCGAGGATCATGGGACTTAGTGACATAAGGGGTTCCTTAAACGGTTTAGGGTCTAGGGTATAAACATATGAAGGTGTGCATGCGACTTAGTAACTTAAAAGGTTCCTGTAGTGGATCTATAAGAGTCTAGGGTTCTAGGGATCATTGGGCTTAGTAACTACTCTTATAAATACGGAAGCTGAACTTACTGCTTATAACCCCAATTAAGGTACTCATAACCTTACTTACTGAAGCCCTGTGATCCTCCAAGCGCCGAAGGATGGACAACTTTCATACGTTCTTGGATTCGCTGAAGCAGCATGCCAAGCCCTTGGCAGAAAAGGCTGGGGGAAATCGGCCCGCGAGCTGCGTTAGGGTTTAGGGTTTAGGGTTTAGGGTTTAGGGTTTAGGGTTTAGGGTTTAGGGTTTAGGGTTTAGGGTTTAGGCAAGGAGAATGTCGGATCCCAAAAGTAGATCTGTGTGCACCTGCATGGGTTTGGCCTCTCATGGTTCTGCGTTTTTCGAGACTCCACTGTCCGGCTCTCTTCTGTCGACGACCATGGTAGCAACATGCAGAGCCGCGCAGGCCGAGATGCGAAAGAAACTGGCAGCAACCGTTGCATCGGCTCTCATTCAGGCCAGAGAGAGAGCATCAGAAAGTCTTAAAGGAAAGTCCAAGCTGCCCAAACCCCAAAGGCACTCATAGAGAAGCCTGACTACTTACCGATATATGATTCTCTAATCCTACTACAATATACCCTAATGTCCTATTCGAACCATGAAGGCCCCCAAAAAAGAGCTCTCTGACTTTCGTCGCGGCTGCCAGGCCGTGGCCGCCCTGGCCGCACCTCCTGCAGCCACTTCTTCGGCCGCGGCGGGCGCCCGCCTGGCGGCATTGGCTCTGGTGCAGGCCTACACTATGCCAAAAGCGTTGAGGGTTTACCTGTACGCCAAACAACCTACCCTTTTTAGAGTTCGTTATTATCGTCTGTTTCTATACATCCTTCAAAATCTAGTCTGTTTCTATAGATCCTTAAAAAATCTAGTTTGTTTCTATAAATCCTTAAAAAGTTAGACTCTTCGGAGTCAAGGTAGAGAAGCAGCCCTCCAGGAACCTTTCCTCTCCATGGTATTTTCGGGCATCGAGACACAGCACCTATAGTTTCTATTGCAGTTCCTTTCTTTGGCTTACCAATTTTCCCGAACAAAGAACCACAATGCGGACTATAGGCAGGGGGTTAAACCCAAAAAGGAACTACAATGATTGACCACGATGGAGACGATAGGCCGTTCGTTGTTCTTTGTTTACGGATGGGTTCGCTGCCTCAGCAGGTCGCCGTGAAGAACTCCTCTGACGCAGCCTTGAGGCGCGGCCGGTTCTTGAGCCCAGGTTCGGTGTTTAGGGGTTTAGGGGT